GTCATATACAGTAGAAGGCGAAAAAAAGATAAGTAGTACACAGGTAGTGCGTAGGTAGTAATTTTACTTCGTTACTCTTCACTGCAATATGCCCAGGAAGTACTGTTGATACCGCCCAGTCACATGTTCCATGTAACAAGCGCACATGCACTCTAGAGGCTCTCAAAAGACTTGAGGATGCTTCTCTTGGCTGTCTTTACTCTCCAAGTTCATCTCTACTGCTGCTCTCTGCTTATAAAACGCCGTTGAGGAGGCTCTTTGCTCGATTCACTGTTGAGCTACTGTCCTGCGGCTGACCAAGTGCACTACTGCCACTGATCGGTTTGCACATGCGCAACGAAGGACCAGCGAACTACAGTTTAGAGAAAAAAAAGCTAAGTAACTGCAGCGTCACTACTATTGCACCGCGCAGTAAAGTACCTTCCACTGCGTAGGATTGACCCTTGTGCTGTGCTTGTATTGCACATGCGCAGAGTAGCTGGTGGGCAGGGTAGTCCTTGCCCACTGCACAGCTACCCTGCACAGCTACTATATACTACTCTTCCAAGGCTACTCTACCGTCTACTACTTATACTAAACGGCACTTACTAGCGCTTGTACTCTACTGGTTTCAAAGAATATGGGTCTAAAAAGTAGCCAGATATCAGTAAGTAAAGGTTTTATTACTATGTGTAAGGTTCTTCTTATGTAGGAACGGTGATTCTACTGGGCCGTAGCGACAGACTATGACTGTCACAGTGCAATGGTGATCTGTTATTATGAAGTCTAGGAGTTACAATGCATGTTTGTAGTCATTTCTTTTTCTGACTTTTATTTTTGTTCTGAATTGTAAAACATAATGATATTTTATGTACATGTAAAGCTTATATTAACCCCGTACTTACTACCCCTTTCAAATTGCAAAAATGCGCGCATTTATCTGGTGGACTAGTGACAATGGTGTACAGCACTTACAAACAACAGAGGATTTCACATTCCTTTTGTAAGTTTTTGAGTAAGTATTCACCACTAATTTTACTGTAGCACTGGATGTCAAAATCTCAGGTGTGAGCAAACTGATTAAGAAATACATGGAAACTGGTTCAATTACTCAAAGGCCAGGTTTGTCAGTATTAATTCCACTACACTTCTCATTATTTTCACAATATAGGATCTGGAAGACCTTCAAAAGTAACCAGAGAAGTTTTAAAGATAGTATAGGACCAAATGCAAGCTGATGATGAAAGCACTGCTACTCAACTTCAGTAGCTTCTCGTTGAGAAAGGTCATTCACTGTCACTGAAAACAATATTGAAGTCTCGCAATACACTTGGTTGGACATACGGTGGGAGTGCATACTGCCAGATCATTAGAGGACCAAATAAAGAGAAGCGAATGAAATTGGCTCAAGATCAGTTGCAGGAGCACAGGACTACTGGTTTTTCTGATGTACTGTACAGTGATGAGTGTACAATTGAATTCGAATCCCACAGGAGATTTCATGAAGGAAAATAGGTGCCCCCGAAACCAAAACCAAGGTAGCACTATATTAATATTACATGTACGTTAATGGTATTTTTTAAAAACCTATTATATAGAGCAAAACACCCCTATAAGGTACATGCATGGGCAGGTATAAGTTGCCAAGGAAAGACGCCAATTGTGCTGTTTGAAGAAAA